TGGGCCCTTAAAACTACCCTCACCCCCCTCTATTTGCCCACGACCCTACACTCCCAGTAACACGATGCCTACCTACCTACCTACATACATATATATATATATACATATACATACACACACATACATACACATACACCTACACCTACACCTACACATACACATACACATACACATACACAAATACAAATACAAATACAAATACATATACATATACATATACATATACATATACGTATACATATACATATACATATACATATACATATACATATACATATACATATACACATATACACATATATACATATATATATATGTATATTATATGCATGTAACCAGCAGCAAAGGGCCAAACTTGCTACAAAGGCAATGTTGCAAAGGCCTGCTGTCTTCAAAGACTGCCGGGCAACAAACAAGCTTGCAAGTGGGTGCGGGCAAATAGGGGGGGCGGCGTAAAACTAGAGTCTGGTGCACCCTATGGGCGCTGCGTAATATTCTGTAAACTTAACCCTTAAAATCGTTCCCAAACTAAACCTTCCGGCCTCTTGGACCGATGAGTCGCGAGATTAGCCTCGGCTCTATGTCCTGCGAAGATCAAGGGTTTAATGCGGACGTTTGTTATGGTTGTCTCGTCGTTTTATGAAGGAAATATGAGGCTGTCATCCGGTTCTTTTTCAACAGTGTTCTTTGAAGGATGCTATGGGAGTTTCAGTAGTGCTATAAGGATTTCATGACGGGTGTCTAGGCCTTTGTCATGTTTCTGCATAAAGCACTACATGGAGCTTCTTCGGCGTCGTAAAATTAGACTGTCCTTTTGCTAAGTATCCTACTACTAGGTGCCCCCGACTTTCGGAAACCCCGCGGCTGAGGTTAGGGCCCGGGGGGGCTTGGGCCTTTCGGGGGGTTGGCTGGGGGCTTTTTAGGGCTTGGAAGCATGGGTATTGCGATTTAGGCTTTACAGATCTTTAATGATTACAGCATCCGGGCTAAGGGCAGCAGAGTTGCATGTTCGGGCCTAGGGTTTAAGGAAACCTAGCCGAGAAAGATTGGGAAGATTACCCTGTCTGTCCCTCTGGGCAAAGCTGTCTGCGCCCTGTACCCTACGAACCCGGTCCAAGATTTCGGTGATGTTGCCGATGGCGGCGAGGTCGCCCTCAACAATGCAATTGACCTTGGAAGCCCGCTCTGCGGCATGCAGGGTGCGCGGACCGTGGCTGCAAGTCGAGAGAGATCCCGAACACATCTGTAATGGGTTTGACTGGCACGGGATCGCATCTTTCCGATTCCTTCATGCTGCGTCGCAGAATCTCTATCTCCAATCTGGGAGTTTCCGAAAATAGGGGACCCTAAGATAGTACCCTACATAGTAGGATCCTTATTGTAAGGACCCCAAAATAAGGCACCCCTAATTTCGGAAACCCCCATCTTGCTCGAGCCTAGCCACCCATTCTTCATGGGGCCCCCGCAAGCGCTTTGCACTTCTCCACCGCCGCCGGGGCGCCAACCTCGGGCACACCAAAGGGGCTACCTGCCTTTCCTTTGGTTAGCAGGGAATGGAAGAATGGTAGAAATAGCAGCTATAATTGTACCCCATTCCTCCATTCCCTACTTACCAAAGGTAAGTTAAGGGGCTACCTGCAGATCAGAAGATGCGTGGCTTGCTGGAAAAATATACTGAGATTTTGGAAATGTTCGGCGTTAGCGACCAGCTCTTGGGCATTCTATGCACGCAATTGTCGTATTGAAAAGTCACGAAATTTTCCAGATGGCTCGAACCACTTTGACCTATTGCTGTTCTGTCCATACATCGGAGGAAGATGAAGCAGCCTACCAGAACAAGCACAGCGACAATCATGCATATGTTTGATCCCGAAAGAGGCGCTGCCGTCAGTTTGCCTTCAGTCCTTACTCTAGATTTGGGAAAACTCACTGGCCCGACCAAGACAACTCCCTCGGGCGATATATAGGGTCCGCGCAATTTCAACGTTTGCTGGGTCATTCCGGTCGAGAACGCCAACTTTCACCACGCCGGTCTGAGATTTCAGGGCCTTGATGTTCCTGCAGCCACGAATAACAGACGCCAATGGCAAAACTCGGAGCATGAAGGCACTCAGGCCTTCCCTGCACGCCGAGCAAGTCTTTGACCTCAGCGACAGGCAGTAGCCCTTTGAAGATTATGAAGATTCAGCGTCAGTGCAGGAGGACCCGAGTCCTTCACCCGGCCAGCAGGTACTTGAACATGAGCCGTGATGTCGCCAGCACCTGCTTCCTCTCCTGCCACAACAAATCGCCGGCAAAGCTGAAATCCTTCTGCCGCACTGTCAAGAAAAGATAAATGCCTCCGGCCATTGCCATCCCGGGTATGCCAGGTGCCATAGCCTGACGTGAGCTGGGCTTACCTCTCGTAAATGCATGCGGCAGGGTCCCTCGCCGGTTGTGCGGCCAGAAGCCTGCCACGAAGGTGACATCCAGCAGCTGGAACGCAGACAACGCAAAGCATGTCAGTGGGCGAGGCAGCGATGTTCGCTCCGGCAGCTTGGGCCTGCAACAGGTACAACACGCAACTGTGAGAAGCCCTGGATACCTGGCCGCCAGGCCTGCATGAGGGCAGAGAGCGTCTTTGGTGCCGGTACAGCCACCGGCGCAGGCGCCGGTACGGGTGGCAAGGCAGCCGATGCTATGAGAGCCGGGACCACCACCGGACCAGGAGCAGCCTCGGCCTAACACTTGCAGGCTGCTCACTCATACATATCTGTATATATGTACATATAATATTTAATATGTAACACATAACATATAATAAATAATATAGGAGTATATATATATATATTATAGATAGATAGGATATTCAATCATCACCGAGTAGCTTGCCACGTGCCAGAACATGCGAACTGAGCATCCGACGGGTGGCTTGTCCCAACTCCTGTCGACAATCTTACTTGTTACGGGCACAAGCAATGTACCGGAAAACTCGATTCCAAAATCAAAACTTGGAATATCGTCCCACTTGAATATGCTCCTGGAAGCAGCCTGCTCGGACTTCGTCAAACCCTTGACCCAAAAAGCAACACAACAGCCCAAAACTAAACTTGCAGTAATCTTGGATCTCGAAGCATTCCAAGCCCCTCAACCCCACAGAATGCCAAGATGCATGTCCGTCCACGCGCACTTTAATCGCACATCATTTAGCTGCAACTCCACAACAAGCCAAAACGACTCTGCCTACTGAAAGCCCTCTCGATCCAGTAGAGAGACAGAGCCTGCCACTGCTGTCGAGTTTAGGGTTTAAAGTAACACCTTGCAGTACTTTTCCCAGTACTGTTACTCTTATGCTACTATAAATATTGGTATTCCTATTCCTGATACGAAATACTATGACCATATTACTCTAGGACTACGTATTACTACCTGTACTACTATTACTATTACGATTGCTATTTTTATTGCTGAATCCAAGAGGAATAGTAGTAGCAATAATTTCAGTAACAGTACTACTGCGACTACTACTACTACTACTACTACTACTACTACTACCACCACCACCACCACCACCACGACCACGACCACTGCCACTGCCACTACCACCACTACCACTACCACTGCCGCTGCCACTACCACTACCACTACCACTACCACCACCACTACTACTACTACTGCTGCTGCTACTACTACTACTACGACGACGACGACAATAACCTCCGGGTCCCGGCCTCTTGGCCTCCTCCGCCGCACGCTCAGCGGCCTCGCGACGAGCCTCCTGCCTCTGGCGCTCCTTTCAAAGTGCAACCCACAGGTTGAGGCTTAGGCGGTTTATGGTCTAAGGACATGTTTTTTCGGTTCTTTCCCTCCCGGTAACAGTCGGAAGACCACTGAGCGATTTTTAGGGCTTAGGGTTTAGCATAGGTTTTTGTTTCCAGCAGGACCGCCTCTTGGGTCTTTAACGTGCTTCAGGACTTTCAGCGTGGCTCTCACGGATGCATGTGGGTTCCGGGCTTGCAAGTTGGGATGTGTCTGTGCATCTCGACCTTTTTGGTGTCGGCGCGCTGGCTTTCTGGCAGGCTTGAGCACTGTAGGATTTGGGATGTCCACGGCTTGGGATGCGCTGGAAACCCAGAGACTCCAATATCCCTTATTTCAGGAATCCACCTTAAATTATAGTAGGATCCCGAATATGATTTAAGGTATATTCCTCACTTAAAGGATATTCGAGTCCCCTAAACCCTAAACCCTATAGAACCCTTTAAAGGAACCCTAAAAACTTCCTTAGTTAAGGGATATTGGAGTCTCTGGGAACAAGATGACCAAACCCTCCGCAGATGTGGAGCAGTGCAGAGCGTGGGAGACGACTTGAGAACGAGCACGGGGGTTTCCGAAAATTCGGGGTACCTTAGGGTTCCTTTAAAGGGTTACTATAAGGGTACTATAAGGGTGCCTTTCAAGGGCTCTATAAGGGTTTAGAGCTTCCGAAAATTAGGGAACCTTATTTTGGGGTCCTTGTAATAAGGATCCTATGATTTGGGGTACTGTATGGGTCCCCCATTTTTGGAAACGACATCAAAGCAGATCACTTTTGCGCCTCGAACTCCGCATTAAATACAATCCTGGCTGCCTTACAGTACCCATTGTTCCATAGGCACACACATTCCTCAGTCGATCTGTGGGGAACTACCGTTGTTGCGCTAAGCCCGAAACCAGTTAGTCTTTCACAGCGGGCGCCTCCTCTTCCATTTGCTCTTCGAGTTCGCGCCGCTCGCGCTCTTCCTCAATGCACGGCTTCACCAGCCCGCGAGAGTTGCTGTACTCAGCAGGTAGCTACAAAGCAGATTGGTAGAAGCCCATAAAGCATCTCAACCGGCACAACCGCCACGAATCTGCCCTCTCGGTACCTGCCCCGGAACTTGCCCGCAACGCATCCCCGAACTCGCCCCAGACCTGGGCCCGGACCTTATTTCGGCTGGAGACCCCAAAGCTGTCGCTCTAATGCTGCTGCCACTGCTACTGCCACCGCTGCTGCCACTGAAACAGCTACTGCGACTGCGAGGCATCGGTGATCGTTTTGACACACTGGCCATAGCCCGCTGAAGGTCTCAAGACCCACAGCTCATATAGCGCTGCAATGCAGACACATAGATAGTATAGTGAGTATAGTCCATATACATAGTCTGATATATACTGACATACTTACTTGCTTACGTACCGTCCAACTAGCAAGCATTGACAGCCTCCTCCAAGCGCCGCAGCCTCTCTCGTTCCTTTCGCTCGGCCTGTCAGGTGGCACAGTTTGAGGTTCTGGCGGCAACTCTTTTGGCATTTTCGGTTGTCCAGTCTCAAACGGAAAAAACTGGGCTGTCAACTGTTGGCTCTCAATCAAAACCAAACAGATATGCAACCCGCTCGTCCGAAAATCTCCTAGGAACGGAGGTTCGGGCTTGGGTTTGATGACGGCGCCTCAGCTCTAGCCTCGCGCTCACGCTTTTGGCGCTCACGTTCTTCCTGCTTCCTGGCATCGACGATGACTCCAAACCCAGGGGACCGGATTCCGCACGTCGAACGTATGCTCCTTTTCTACGAGGAGCCATGCTTGCGGTGAGAAGCAAGGATTATGGCCTTGAAAGACTGCGCAGTGTAAAGAGTTTGAGCACATCAAAGCTCCCCTGCACTGCGCCCAACGGATTCCCATCATGCTGGTCACGGCGTGACCGTCCTTGCATCGACGAATATGCCCAGAAAGAGTGCTTTGCTCTTCGCATAAATTCCAGGGACCGATGATTCTCGAGGTCCGTTAATGTTGAGCACCTGGATACTATTCTGCTGGAGCCACGCAAGGAATTTCTTCCGGGCTGCAGGGATGTCTGCTGCATCGGCTGATGTAAAGACCAGCTGTGGCTTTCCAAGTGCTTTGACAGCTTCCATTCCCAAGTTCGTACCATCCAGGACGTCTTTGGGTAGAATAGTCAGTGTACCTGGCAGGGCATGTCGACTATGACTACCGCGCATGGAATTCTCACATGTGCAGCTGGTGTAGATTCTGCGGTGAGAGAAGCATTTGAGGCCCAGGCAAGGAGATGACGACTATGAGAATACACATGCCATTTCGACTATACTTCTTTTGCGCAGTGCTAGTTGTCCTTGTCGCCGTTCCTACATACGGAGCTCAGTTTTAATTATTGATTGATCCTTCGCATTGCTACAGTGCAAAGGGCCGTGGTATATGTTGAGGGTTTTGCCGCTTTGCCTGCTGAAACCCCAAATCTCCAAGCCCCAGCGAACCCAACAATCCTACTAAATGCCATACCCTCCTTGTAGAACTAACCAAGCCTGAACTTTCCAGAGCATTCATCAGCGTGCGTCTCGCGAACTTGTCGGGATCGCTGCAAAGCCCCAGATCTTCGAAGAGGCCTACAGTAGAGGTCCAAGATGTGGGTCTCTCGTGCTTGCATCATCGCAGCTAAACCCTAAACCTAAACCCTGAACTCAACCAAACCCTATACCACTACTTTTGATTTGAACTGATGAAAGTACTCGAAGGCCCACAGTGAGCCTTTGTGAGCCTTCCACACATCCGGCGTCAGCGGTGTAAGATGCCACTCCTTGGCTGAGCTCAAGGTTAGGGACCTCCGTGAGGCACCGAACTAAGAGAGAGCACTAAACTTCAAAGACCCCCTTGCTAACTACACGCCGTCGGTTCGGCCAAGTCTGGGATTGGCCCGTTCTCGTCCGAGCCATCTTCTGGGCAGAAGCCTCCTGGCGGGTTAGTCTGCAAGAGTTTTCGCGGAGGCCGCCAAACTTGGCATGTGCTGAAGTCGTCTGAAAGCGAATTCGAGCTAACGCTCGTCCCACACCGGTCCTGTAGCAAGCCCCAACTCTCGTGCAGCAGTCAGGGCGGCCTGGTCCACCCCTGTCTGGCCGCCTGCGACCACTTTTTGAAGGCCCATGCCCGCTGCCTTCTCTGCATCCATGCAGAAGCTGAGGCCAAAGAATTTGGAGCTCAAAAGCAGCTGCAACTTCAAACTCTGCCACAGCGGATGACACATGAAGCGGGGATGCAGGCCCTACATCTACCAAAAGTCTACCACGGCTTGGTTGAGCCCGACAAGCTGAAGTTTCTGTGGATGGCCGAATGAACGGCACTACTGAATTTTGGGGAAAAGCAGCCAGCAGGACTCTTCCTCTTCCATCTTGGCCTGGCACAGTCTCTAGTCGTGAATATAGATCTGTCGGACAACTTTTGGATTCAAACCTTCACCGGGATGACCACACAATGCTCAAATTTCGGCAGCAGTGAATCCATCACCCAAGGTGGTGACGACTTCTTGTGCAGTGCAGAAGCCTTCCACTCTTCCATCTCCTCCACGGTCACATTCTTCGCTTGCGACTCCTCCTCGTCATCTGACTCCTCCTGGGGATCTCGGCCGTACAGTCATAGCACACATGGCTTGGAGACGTGCGAGAAATGCCAGAAACCCAAATCAAGACTATCACCACCACCCCCACGCAGCAGCAGCTGCTGCTGCTGCTGCAACAGCAACAACAAGCACGTGAGAACCACCACAATCACCGCAACCACAACCATAACCATCACAAGCCCAACCCCAAGCGCAGCTGCAACCACGACGACGACAACGACGACGACTAGGACAACGACGACCGCAGCCTCAGACTCAGCCCCAGTCTCAGACGCAGTCGCAGCTTAGTCGAATTCGCATCCACAGAAGCAGTAGGAGTTGGAGTAGGAGCAGGAGCAGTCGCAGAAGTTAGTTGTGGCAGCAGCAGCAGTAGTGGCAGTCGCAGTCGGTAGTAGGAGGTAGCGGGCGGGCAGCAGGTAGTATGTGGGCAGTAGGTTGTGGTAACAGTGGCAGTAGCAGCGCAATGATAGTGGTGGCGGTCGTCGTCGTCGTCGTCGTCGTGGTCGTCGCGGTCGTGGTGGTGGTGGTGGTGCTGCTGCTGCTGGTGGTGGTGGTGGTGGCGGCGGTGGTGGTGGTGGTCGTGATCGTGGTCGTGATCGTGGTCATGGTAATGGCACGGGCAGTGCCAGTGGTGGTAGTAGCAGCAGTAGTAAGAGTAGCAGCAGCGGCAGTAGTCGTCGTCGTCGTAGTCGTCGTCGTAGTCCTGCGACAGCAGCAAAACCAACAATGCCAAGCCAAGCTTTTCATCTTGGCGATGGAAGCCGGCGACAACGACGACGCAGACAAGGAGCATGATATTACGGTGAAGGTGGTGCAAAAACTATAATGAGGATGACGCAGTTGATCATGTCGACATTGCTGACGCCGACAGGGCTGCCGCGGAGGGTGATGGAATGGACATAATGCTATTGCTGATGCCGGTGAGGGTGAATATTGTTGATGGTGATGGTGACAACGATGATGCATAAGCATGCTGACAGCGGATGTGCCCGAATAGTACCATGTGGATGATGATGACAATGATGATGACAATGAAGACGATGACGATGATGAGGATGCGGATCAGGATAATGATGGCCATGATGCATCATCATCATCATCATCATCATCATCATCATGCTAATCCTGATGTTGACGAAGATGAAGATGACGGTAAATGTGACGCTGGTGATGATGAGGACGACGAACACGATGATAGCAATGCTAGTACCAGTGGCGGGAGCTGTCACTGTCTCAACGACAGTCAGAACAACAGCTACCAACCTCGACAGCAGCACGGAAACACCAAGGACAAAGAAAAATGATGGCTCTTGTAATTGCGACTGTTAAACTGTTACCATGAGAAGACCAGAAGGAATAACAACGAGAACATTCAGGTCAGCCTAAATGCCAGAGAGAGGAGGCCGCGATCAGATTCCCGAAGCCCCGACAAAACCCTTGGACAACAGGTCCTGCCACTTCTTCCGCTTTTTGCCACCGGGTCCATCCTGCTAAGATCGTGCACTTGTTCATGATCAGCTGATCAACCACGTCTGTAAAATTTCGGGATCAGCTGCCGCTATTCCAGGCAGGATACGCAACGTGTCGTACACATGTCATACATGTACAGGTCCTCTTGTGTGCGGATGCGTTTCTGTATGTATGTATGTATGTATGTATGATAGATAGATGTTCATATACAGTATATACATGTACAACAACATAACAGACATGCCTGCGTGTATGTGTGTACACGTCGAGGAAAATGCTTACATGAAAAAGCAGAAAAACAAACACAGGCCCAGGAGTTCAGGAGTGCACATACGCATATGCAGATGCGCGCATATACATATGTTTGTACTGATTTTTACACCTGTACGTACAAATAAACCTGCTTGCATCTACTTGAACAATTCTATCTATTTCCACATGGCCGCGACTTACACACCTCTGAGGTGACATGATATTGTAGAGTGAAATGTAACTAAGATGATACGGTAAAATCTCAACTCATAAGGCATCGTATAACCGTATAGCCGAATACTGGAGCGACGAAACTTCGGCTTCCAAGAACTGGCCTTCTGGTCTTCTCTCTTCCGGCCAAGCATGGCCTCGGCCACAAGCGCTTGCACCCCTACAACCCTAGATATCGTTGTTGTTAGTATTGTTGTTGCTTTGATTTTTCGATTATCAGTAACGTGGATATTATATCTACTATTACTATGATGTATCCCTGTTGTTGTCATCCCTGATTATCCCTATACAAGCCTTACGAGCATGTAGAATCCTCGACAGAGTTCCTCCCATGCAAAGAAGCCTCTGCCATGCTCTGAAAGTGAGCTGAGTTGCGACTTCGCATGGCGTGGGCTCTCCTCCCTGAGAGAAGCGTCAGCCCTCCATGCTGGAGTATGGGGTTTAAGCGCCACGGCTGGAAAATCGGGTGGGGCTGAGAGAGATATCAGAAGTATCGAGTCTACAGAGGCCTGGGTTGGCCCGCGAAACTGAAGGCACTCAGTATCACGGTAGATGGGTCTGGAGAAACAAGGCAGTACAGGGCTGCTGTGCAGGCTGATCATGGACCCTGGGCCCCTTAGCTCAACAGCAGTCTGGCGTTGTGGCCGAAGCTCAAACTATTCAAGTCATGGCTGTCTGCCATGTCTGTGCTCGGTATTCTGCTGATGGGTGAGCCGAAACGTACCAAGAAGAATGTAAAAGGCTATGACCATGATGACACATGGGTAATGACCATGGCCATTGGGCTATGGAACCGGCAGTAGTGATACTAGTACTAGTACTAAAGGCGACGACGACGACGACTGATTACTACCACTACTATTACTCCCCACTCCCACTCTCACTCCCACTCCTACCTCCACTCCCACTCCTAAAGCTCCTCCTGCTGAAGATGCTGCCACTCCTGCTGCTGCTGCTGCTGCTGCTCTTCTACTGCGACTGCGACCGCGACCGCTGCGACTACAGTTACAGCTACGGCTACTAATACTACTATTACAACCACTACTGGTACTTTTGCTGTGACTGTTTCTGCTACTGCTACTGTTAGCGTTACGGCTACTATTACTCTCACTGTTACTGCTACTGTTACCGTTGCGGTTGCTGTTACTGCTACCATTTCTATTGCTGTTGCTCTTACTGTTGTTGCTGCTATTGCTATTGCTATTGCTATTGCTATTGCTGTTACTATTACCATTACCATTACCATTACCATTACCATTACTGTTGCTCTTGCTCATACTCATACTCATACTCACTCTCACTCTTACTCTTACTCTTACTCTTACTCTTACTCTTACTCTTACTCTTACTCTTACCATTACTCCTACTCCTACTCCTACTCCTACGCCCACTCCTACTCTGACTCTTACTCTCACTCTCACTCTTACTACTACTACTGCTACTGCTACAACTACTACTACTACTACTACTACTACTACTAAAACTACTACTGCTACTGCTACTGCTACGACTACCACTACCACTACGACTACCACTACCACTACCACTACCACTACCACTACCACTACCACTACCACTACCACTACCACTACTACCACTCCCACTCCCACTCCCACTACTCCCACTCCCACTCCCACTACTACTACTACTACTACTACTACTACTACTACTACTACTACTACTACTACTACTACTACTACTACTACTACTACTACTACTACTACTACTACTACTACTACTACTACTACTACTACTACTACTACTACTACTACTACTACTACTACTACTACTACTACTACTACTACTACTACTACTACTACTACTACTACTACTACTACTACTACTACTACTACTACTACTACTACTACTACTACTACTACTACTACTACTACTACTACTACTACTACTACTGACTACTACTACTACTACGACGACGACTACTGCTGCTACTACTACTACTGCTAAGCAGCAATACTACTGCTAGTGCTACTATTGCTACTGCTGCTACTCAGGTCGGCGGAAAATTCGGTAACTGAAACGACTGATTCGGTAACCAGAACGGCTGATTCAGAAACCAGCCATGATTCAGAAACCAGCCATGATTCAGAAACTGGAAACGGAAAATTCGGAAACCGGAAAACCTGATTCGGAAACTGGAAAGCCTGATTCGGAAACTAGACCTTGATTCGGAAACCAAAACGACTGATTTAGCAAGCATGGCCGGAAACCAGACGCTTACACTTAGGCCTTCCTAGCTCAACATGGTCGGATAGGACGACAATGCCGTATTTGCCCTTTCCCAACCCAATCCCATATGCGTCTCAACGCCTCCGTCATCATGATCATCATCACCGTCATCATCAGCATCCTCATCATGATCATCTTTTTTTGCCAAATCGCGGGTTTAGCAGTGGACCATGGACGTCATTAGGTCTTGGGCATGGATGCTCTTTTCCCAATTCGCAGCAAACCATGGACGTCACAAGGCTTTGGACATGGATGCTCTTTTCCCAAATCGCAGTAGACCATGAACGGCATTAGGCTCTGCACATGGATGCTCTTCTCCCAAATCACAGTAGACCATGGACGTCATCATGCTTTGGACATGGATGCTCTTTTCCCAAATCGCAGTAGACCATGGACGTCATCAGGTTTTGGACATGCATTCTCTTTTC